TCCCCAACCCAGTTCCTATAAAGACCAATATGAGAGTATAAACATCATAGCACAAGTACCATCTTCACTAAGTTGAGATACTGTATAGCATAGAATTTCATAGAACCAGAGTAACATGGCACACAGATCAGTAAGAGGTTGACATACCTAACTTCTGATTCTAGTTCTAGCATAAAATAACCTTAAGACCTTAAACAAGGCACTACATTTTTCTTGACTGCATCAGCTATAACTATGGTGGCTGCATTATTGGTATCTGTTGTACTTACCTCACAGGGATAAAGAGTCCTTGTCACCATGCCCTTCACTTTGAGTCATGTGATACACTGATTTTTATAGATATGTTAGAGATTTTTTTTCAAAGATTTCTTTAAAAGATTCTTCTAATGAGCTTTATAGGGATGGAATTTGTGAAGATTCTATGTTGTGCACAAAATTCATCACAAGATTCATAGGATTGGATTCTTCCATAGTCCTCAAAAGTCCGTGGGGGAAATTTAAATAGAAAAGTTTATTTCACTTTTATACTTACTTTCTAAGTGTCAAGAGCTTTGGGATTTGTAGATTCAGTCTCTTCACTGACATTCAGAGTTCAAGTGCAGAAAAGAAGCCGTTTGCTAATGAAATGAGGCAGATATATTTATCTGTGATACTTTTCTAATGTTCCACAACAATTAATACAAGTATAAGAAACCATAAGAAGCATCTTACAAGGACTGCCTTTTTCCTGGGTGTTGCTGACAGTGGGTAGTCTGAGACCTTGGAATGTATTGACTTTTACTAAAGGATGTATGTGACCACCTGTGTTTTCTAAACTGATCCGTCCCCTCTTCTTTTAGGCATCTACAGCCATGACTTTCCTGAGCAGTAAAGGGTACATACTGGGCAGTATAAAAATCCAAATGAGAAGACAGAGTTTAGGGGAGCAGGAGGTAACAAAAGTGCACTAGTTGGTACCTCAAAGTTTTCATTTTTGTGAAATGCTTGGAGATGGGAGCTTTGAACAACTCACATATAAAATTCTTTGAATGCTTAGTAGCTACATGGTGACATCTTTTTTTATGGTACAAATGAAGGTAATACCTGAGTGAACTATGTGGTGAGTAAATGATTAAATGAGCCTTTACATTTCAAGTGTTGATGCTACAAAGATTAAGAATGATAAATAGAATTACCCTGAAAGATCAAATGGTGAAGACTTCTCTAACCTGAAAACCAAGACTAAGCATAGCTAGATGTATAAAGACACAGAGGGAGTACATTCTAGACAGGGGAGCAACAGATTCAGAAAAGGGAAGCACACACTCAGGAATGAATCATAAATTTCACATCTCTTCACGAGAGAGGAAGCAAAAATATGTCTAGGTTAAAGGAGAGCAATGTTGTCAAGTTAAATAAGAAAAGCTACCCATAAATAGAGAGAGCAAGAGGCGATGAGAGACACAGGGTTAGAGAGGCACAAAAAAGCTAGAGAAGAAGACAAATAGGGAACACACTCCAACGCTTGACATTTTCATCTTAGTAGACTTTTAGACTGCCTTTATTTCTTTAATTTCAGAGTGACACAAATTCTTCAGAACAAGCTAAGTGTTCCTGTTCCAAGGTGAAATATTTCTGTTGAATCAAAAAATAAGTTACCCATCGCTTCCAGCATGGGGATTTTACACTTAATTTTCACTGAGGAGATTGGGGGAGAACTGTTCCCATTTACACTTCTGTTTGGAGAAAAGAAGAGGTTTGGTAACCAGTTCATGAGAATCACTAACTTAGTGACGAATTGTAAATTTCTGAGTTGTGCTGGTGCCAGATTCAGAGGCACAGAAACCCATTTAAAAAAGTACAAATGGGACTTGAGCTTTCTGTTCTGGCCAGAGTTCTGTTTGTTTAACTCAGAGGTGTGGCAAGAACGTGCTCTGTTAGTGAAACGAACTGCACCAGTGAAGCAAAAAACAAATAGCCATATTTGTTAAGTTCAAAAGCGGAAGTGTGATTTGACTGGGCGTGAGCTGTTCTGAGTTCTTGAAATTGTGTGTTGGTAGCTAGCTTGTTGGAGGTTGTGTGTCACTGGGAGTCATCTTTTAGATTTCAAAAACCCATGCCAGACAAATCTCTCTCTCTCTCTCTCTCTCTCTCTCTCTCTCTCTCTCTTCTCTCTCTCTTTCTCTCTGTCTCTCTCTCTCTCTTTCTCTCCCTCCCCCTCTCCCTTCTCCCCCCTCTCTGCCTGCTGCCTATGGATCAAGATGTAAGGTTCTCAACTACTGCTCCAGTTCCATGACTGTCTATTTCCCACTATGGTGGTCATTTACTAAGCCTCCAAAACTGTAAGAAAGCTTCCAATTGCCCAACTAAATGATTTATTTTTTAAGAGTTGCCTTAGTAATGGTGTCTCTTCACAGCAATAGAACACTAAGAAAACATCTAAGTTCACTAAATCTCTCTGAACATTAGTCTCCACATCTGTGTTATAATGGTATTACTACTTAATAATTAATAATAATAAATTAGATAATCCATTTGGCTACTTCTTTTGCTGATTTTAATGTATATCTTTGATGGTACTTTGATTTCTTCCCTTTCACCTTTGAATTCCTCTCCACTCTAAGTCATCCATATACACACAGGATGGCTACATTACTCTTTATGGTATATCACAGATGATAGGCCAAGTAGATTTATCTGTAAAAGAGAAGTAGGAAAGTGAAAATATTTGGATAATTTTCTGTCAGTGAAATCATCACTTGGGGTTCTGTTTTTGTTTTTCTGGGGGGTTCTGTTATTTTCTTCCATCTCTCTGTGTTGCAATGTGACTGAAAATTATATCAGATGCCATTTCTCCACAAATAAAGAGAACTTAAAACTACATTGCTCCATTGTAGTAAATACACTCAACAACCAACAGGATAAAAATAAAAATGCAACAAGCTACATCATGTCAGAAATGAGCCCGGGGCCATGCTTGTTTCCTTGCTTGCTTTATTTCCTTTTTTCTTATGATGATTACTTTAATGAATACAAAATTAAATTTTAAGTTATTTTCAAAAAGTTCAAATGGCCTGTTTTACTGTTGCTAAGGCAATGTTCACTGTGACTGTTGGATAATGTGTTCACTGTCTTTGTTGTGATAGTATAAGATTCTTTTAACATTAAAAATATTGAGATTATAATATAATTACATCATTTCCCTTTTTGCCTTTGCTTCCTCCAACTCCTCAATGTACCCACCTTACTTTCTCTCAAATTCATAATCTTTTTGTTGTTATGTGTGTGTGTGTGTGTGTGTGTGTGTGTGTGTGTGTGTGTACTCCAATAAATATAAATATAACCTTCTCAGTCCATAGAATGATACTTGTTTGCATATGTGTTCAAGACTAACCATTTGGCATTGGATAATCAATTACTATTGCTCTTCTCCGAGGAGGACTATTTCTCCCACTCTTAGCATTCCTTGGTTGTCTATAGTACTTTGTCTAGGTTTAATGCCTCATAAGTTTGTCCTCATCCACATTAACATGTCTATTGATGGTATATTATATTCAGCTCATGTTTAGGTAGTCATGTTGAGGAGACTTCATGGGTATATATTCCCTGACATTTCTAAGAGATACAATCACACAGTAAACTTCCTGTTCCTGTGGATCTTATAGTCTTTCCACCCACTCTTTCTCAATGATCTCTGAGCCTTAGGTAAGGCCGGAGTTGAATTGTAGATGTATCACTTAGGATTGGGGTCCACAAGACTACATTTGCGTTGAGCGTAGTTTGAGTGATCTCTGTCTATTACAAATAGAGGTTTCTTGATGAGGTGTGAGGGATACACTTAGATATAGGCGAAATGAATATTTAGAATGTTGTTAGGGATTATGCTGGCTTAGTGAGATGTCAGCTATAGGTTCTCCTCAGAGATTCATTACTTCACTAGTCCAGGGTCAGTTGACTAGGTTTCCGGTATCATGCATGATTTCCCTCTTGCTGAGTGAGGCTTAAGTCCAAGTTAGAGAGTTGTTGGTTACCAGTAATGTGGTCATGACAGTATCAAGCCCTTTGGATTGTCATTTCATGCTGGTTGCTGCTGTGATTCAAAGTCATAATAGCTATCAGTTGCTCTCTTCCTTTGAAAGTTTGCATTGTGTCTTTTGGTACCATGAAAGCTAGTCCTGAAGGAGAAGGATTTCAGGTCAGATACAGCTCATGTTTTCTAAGTCCTGTGTCCAAAGTGTGTGGTGCCTTCAGCAACAGGGACTTACCTTCTACCTCTGTCAAGCAAGGACAACACTAGCCTATGTTTTGAGAGTCTATTGGATAGCCCCAACAACACAAAAGGGGCTTCTCATGCCTGGCATTGGGGTTTTGTTAGCTAGTTTATGGACCTTGGGGGGAGTATTGTCATTAAAGTATATGTGTATATGTATACAGACTTACATGTATAATGGTATAGGATTCTTCAGAGAAGGACACCTGAGGACTATATTTCCAAGGTTACAATAAGGAAGTAATCATAGTTTAGGAACTAAAATCATACAGAATTGAAGTGTTTCATGTAAACTGAGAATGGAACACAAGTCTTGGGAGATAGGCCAACTTTAAGAGGACCCCACAGTAACAAACTTTTAAGATAAAATAATGAGAATGTCATATTCTCAGGTTCTCCAAGTCAGCCAGATCAGTGTCAATGCAAACTCAAGGATGCAAAGCCATTTTGTAATGCTGAAGAACCAAGTTAAAGAATGTATTAATTGCCATAATGTCTTTGCTATGGTAAGAACAATATAAAAACACATCAAGGCACATTTCTACTATTTCTTAATTGATTAACTGTGCAATGTTGGGTCATTAGTGCATTTTATTTGAGCCTCCACTTACATATCTGTGAGTTGTCCCTAACTGGAATATTCTACATCTCAGTGTAAAAAGGAGCCTTAAATATTCACCAAAGTATTACTTAACCACTGTGCTTTTTTAATTTTTGTTTGGACAGGAGTCATAATTCCACCATTTATCTTGATGAACATACTGAGATATTCAAGATGGGCAGCAACAGTACCAGCACTGCTGAGAATAATTGCAATGTTACACATCTCACATTTCAGTACTCTCTGTATGCAACCACCTATATCTTCATATTCATCCCTGGTCTCCTGGCTAACAGTGCAGCCCTGTGGGTTCTGTGTCGCTTCATCAGCAAGAAGAATAAGGCCATCATTTTCATGATCAACCTCTCAGTGGCAGATCTCGCTCATGTCCTGTCCTTACCTCTCCGGATTTACTACTATATCAACCGTAACTGGCCATTCCAGAAAGCCCTTTGCCTACTCTGCTTTTATCTGAAATATCTCAACATGTATGCCAGCATTTGCTTCCTGGCATGCATCAGCTTTCAGAGGTGCCTCTTTCTCCTCAAGCCATTCAAAGCCAGAAACTGGAAGCGTAGGTATGACGTGGCCATCAGTGCTGCCATCTGGGTCATCGTGGGGACTGCCTGTTTGGCATTTCCCATCCTGAGAAGTGCTGGTTTAGCCAACAACACGGAATCCTGCTTTGCTGATCTTGGATACAAACAGATGGACACAGTGGATATGGTCACCATGGTTACAGTTGCAGAGCTGTCTGGATTTGTGATTCCAGTGATCATCATTGCATGTTGTACCTGGAAAACAACTATATCCTTGAAACAGCCACCGATTGCTTTTCAAGGGATTAGTGAGAGGAAAAAAGCACTGCGGATGGTTTTCATGTGTGCTGCAGTCTTCATCATTTGCTTCACTCCTTATCACATTAACTTCATTTTTTACACCATGGTAAAGGAAAGCATCATTACCAGTTGTCCCATTGTCAAAAGCACACTGTATTTCCATCCTTTTTGCCTGTGCCTTGCAAGTATCTGCTGCCTTTTGGACCCAATTCTTTATTATTTCATGGCTTCAGAGTTTCGTGACCAACTGTCTCGCCATGGCAGCTCCGTTACCCGTTCACGTCTCATGAGCAAGGAGAGTGGCTCATCAATGGTTAGCTAAAATGAAATAATTCTTCAGCCATTATTCTCTTTACCAATGTTGTTTGGTCTGTTCCAAAGGTAGGAATTGCTAGGCAAACAGTTTCTTTAATTGAACACTGGAAATAGCGGAGATAAATTTTATTGTGTGATGGTTGTGGTCACAGATGATAGAGGCACAATGTAAAAAATGTGGGAGAAGAAAAGAAAATGAGATCCATCTGCTTCTAATTTAAAATTTATGGCATTTTATTATTTACAAGTCCCAGATCAAGTTTTTACAGATGTTTCCAACCAAATAGAAATTGAATACGTGTATTTAAAATTGTCTTCTGTAAATAGAAAAATACTGAGATGCCAGATATATATTCCTCTTTACAGAACAGTAAATGTCTTCCATAGAATAATTTTGCCTCTGAGTGGAGTAAAAATTTCAAGTCTAAGACATAAAACACAGGCAAAGTGACACAAAAAGTTAAAGCATCCAAACAGCACTGAATGAAGGGCATGGAATCCACTCCGTGAACATTTATAGATGCCCATCATTTTCTGAGCTGGTATTTTTTCATGTATTTTTACATATAATATCTCATCTTACCTTTCTAATAGAAGTGACAACAAATATGGAAATGTAAATACAATTGCATAAATGTAATATCAGAGACGATAATTAACTTGGCTCGGGATTAAGTATATATGGCATATGCTTATATTATTTATTCCCCCTGCTTATGTTTTATATGTATTAGGTCAGTAGATAAAGATCATTTTCATACAGTTTTCTTAGGTTCATTGGGAAAAAATCCATAGGTTGGGGATTAGCACAATTCTGGCTACAAAATCTTCTATGATAAATATGTTGTCCTAATACCGTGAGGATATGCATAGTCTTTTTTTTTTTTTACACAAAATACTAATGATCTTTATTTATAGATGATGGGGACTACGGGTAATCGGCTTATTCCATTTGTATTTTTTATTTCATTTTACGTTCCAACCAAAATATCCCCTCCCACCCTCCTCGCCTCCCCCCTCAAGCCCACCCCATCCACTCTTCCTAACAGATAAGGGATCCCATGGGAGTTGATAAAGTCTGGCACCTCAAGAAATCATTATTAAGGAAGGTAAATGCTGGGAAAAATGTTTAGAAACCCAGGTGAAGAGACTTTCCAGCATTTCCCACTAAGAGAAAAAGCAGGCCTTGGGGTCCCAAGCAGAGGTGTAAAGGAAGCGGATATGTGAATGTGTATAGTCTTGATGAGAAGTCCAACATTTCAAGTCAGTTTTATTGTTTAATGTAAGTCATGCAAATCCCATAATTAGAAAGCTATAAAAACTGAGTCACATCGTAGTAAATGTAGATTTCTTTTTAAAATTCCCCCATCTTTAATTCTTAAGTATTATTACATGTCACCAAGCAAAATCTCAAGGAGTTTTCAGTTATCATAACTCATAGAATTGCAATAGAAAGAGAGAAGTATCATCACATTGTGAATAAATATGACAGGAATATGTGAGCTTGTTTTATTTTTTTCTGAACTTTATGGATATTAGTTTGAGTATTCTTGTAGAGGATTTAAATTCAGGAGACTCCTTAGCTTCTCAGGTTGACAATTTACTGGTATTTTAGGTCTGAAATTTACATAGACTTTGGTATGCACACAAGAGTAGGAAGTGGTAGTCCTTATAGCAACGCCTTTATGTAGACTAGCTAAGGAAGTGGAAGGGTCCACCAAAAGGAGGAATTAAAAAGAATGTTTCTTGGGCATGAGATAGTTGTGTAATTATAAAGTAATAAAGTGTTTTTTTAACTTGGAATTGTGTGTGTTTTATTAACCAGAATCTGTAGGCACTGCTGCTAGTGGGTTCTCAATGTGTTTGGGATTAATGGTAGCATTATCACAATCACTGTACCCACCATCTCACTCTGAAGAGATGACTTTTCAAGAAATTCACACATCCACTCTAGTCTTTGTGGAGTAAAGGAAATTCAGCTCTCATAGTTTGCATTTTCAATGTTTTCTTGCAAGTGTTTGGGAGTAAGTAGTGCTCTCTACACAGTTTATTGAATAGCATGTAAATTAAACTACATACCTTCCATTTTGGCCTTCATTTAAAAGGAATCTTTGGCCTTGTTTTCAGTTATAAGTCTCTTATGTGGTCATAGAGAAAAATGACAGTGTCTAAGAGAGCAATGATTGGTTTTGAATTTCAAAGGCGGGAAACCTCATATGATGTCAAGGAGAAAGGTGATGGTAATTGAAATGAGACTATGTTATGTGCAGAGCCTGAAACCCAAAACAAGATGCACACAGTTAGTAATTCTATTTAACTTTCCATGCTCAAATAAAAAGCAATAGCAAGGTTATTTTAAGGTAGTAGAATAGATAGTAACTATGATAGTTGCAATTATGTTTATCACAGAGATATGAGGTCAGAAGAAGGGGACAGCAAGCCATACAGCCTTGAACTGGCTCTTCAATAAGTCAATTTTAGTTGTAAATGTCTTACAGTATCCCAAATTCTCTGTAATATAACTGTTAAAATCTACTTAAAAACCATATCGAAACCTGTAACACTGATGACTTCTGATACCTTTAAAAAATTCTTCAAAGAATATTATAACTCATAACAATTTATATATTTTAAAATGAAGTTTCTGCACAATTAGGTGTATTTTATATTTTAGGAGCAGGGATTTTATTTGTTTGGAGCATTGTTTACTTTTTTCTCTTTCTAAAATAGTAGATGCTAGAAAAGCATACAGGTATAATATTTTCCCTTCACTAAGTGAGAGCAACAACATTGTTGTCAATGTCCTCCCATACCAATGTTGGAAAAAGTAACTAACACAGAATATTATAGTTTGGTTGGGAGTTATAAAATGAGTTATTAATAAGTTTATAAGGTTAAAGGTTTAGAATAAGGAGTCCTCAAATGCCGGACATTGGATTTGGAATTTTAAGTGGTGGAGTGACAAGATTGATAATTAAAATTGTGGAAGTATAAACAATAATATAATAATAAGAATTGAAACCCAATCCTCAGGGTAAATATTTATCATTGTTTGCTCATTTATTCTGAGGTCTAGTTCCTATAGGCAATTTCACAAACATATTTGAGTAATCAGAAAGATACAAAAGAATATTTTTCATCTATTCAGCATAAGCATAGGGCTTAATATGGTTTTTCAGACTGATTTTTTACAGTATCATCATGTGTGTATAACATTTACTCCCATATTACAGAGCAGAAAAAAACACAAAAAAACAAACGTATACTTAAACTTTAGCATATGCTGTTAGTCACAATGGAACTCACTTCTTTGCATCCTAACTGAAAAAAATATTAATGATAACTCAAAGGAAGTGTATATACTTAAAAATGACAGGCATAAGATTTTTAATTCTGGAATTTGGAGTTTAAAGGAGATGTCCTTATTCACTATACTTCTAGACAGCATCTTATGATAACTGATTGAGTTTTCCTGGAGATGTTCATTTGTTTTTGAAGGCAGAATTTCACTATGTAGCAGTGGCTAGTCTAGAACTTGCAGGATCTACCAGTATAGACTACTCTGGCCTTTAATTCACAGAGATCTACCTGCTTCTGCTTCATGAGTGCTAGAATTAAAGGTGTACACCACCATGCCTGACAAATGTTCATATTTTAAAGTATTTTTTATTTGACTCAAAACTATGCAATTAGAATGTTATACTTGTGTTGCAATTTCTTTAGAAAATCATAAAATTTCTTTCTTTTTTGAGACAGGAATTTTCTGTTTATCATCCTTGCTTTGTAGACCAGGCTGGCCTCCAACTTACAGAGATCTGTCTAGCTCTGCCTACTGAATGCTGGGATTAAAGGTGTGTGCCCCCATACTCAGCTCATAGAATGTCATTTAAAATATATGGGGGCTAGACAGATGACTCAGCGGTTAAGAGCATGTATTGCTGTTACAGAGGACACCAATACCCACGTCTTGTAGCTCACAGCTACTTGTAATATTAGCTCCAGTGTATCTTACACTTCTAAGGTCTTTTCAGACATCTGCTCACACATGGCACACACACACACACACACACACACACACACACACACACACA